CGGAGCTGCCTGGACGCTGCAATCATGTTGCGCACTATCCGTGCTGAGTGTGCTGACTTTTCGTACAATGTCCCACTGTCTGGCTTCCTGCATAAAGTCAAGTGCTCGGCGCAGTTGTGGCGAAATGTCGCTCCTCTGTTTTCATTTAAACAGCTCCTTATATCCGTTAGCGCAGCTAGCTAGCACCAGATGCTAACAACAACAATGCACGTAAGGTCTCTCTCTCGCTCGCTCGGGCCACACATACACACACCCTCCCGGTCCTCCAGATGGCCTGTCGGTGCCTGCCGGTGAGCGTGGAAGTGTGGTCTGTCAGCATCAGCTTGTAGATGGTATTTTAAACTCGATGCGCTCTGAAACTACGGGGCGGCCAAGGAAAAAAAATACACATGCGTTAATCGCGTTAAAATAATTAGTGGCGTAACATTTTTTTTATTATAGGTATCGGTCTTGAGAAGCAGGAAGGTATCGGTTTCAAAAAACCAATATCGTGCATCCCTAATTATAAACAATTGCTTCAAAGCCACAGATACATTATTAACCTATGGTTCAACCGATTCAGCCGCGTTTTTTCTCGTTTTAATGCCATTGAACACGTCTTTTGATCAGATTGACAGCTACGGTGAGACGATCTCCCGTAAAAGCTCCGTAAAGGTACGTGTTGTGATGTCTGTGTTTGCTTCCCCTGTCGCAAGATCGGATCGCTTAGTGATGCTACTATACTTAAATAATCTGTGAAGTCTCAGCTCGGACATATTGTATGTGCAGTTTCGATAAGTAATAAGGGTATCTTTATTTTGAATTCTGTGCTAAAGTGCGTTAGCATTTAAAAAAAAAAAGAGAATAAAACCGCATGTCCCTGGGTGTGAATATCGCGCATGCGCATATCGCGGTTATCGCCATGACACGGTATATCGTTCAGCCCTAGTGCGTATGCATGGGTCAAAGTTTGCGTGGAGGACCGCACATTTTCCCGTCAAGTTTGTTTTTTATAAATAAATTACAAACATTGCGTAGAAACTGGCATACGCCATCTTTTGAGCGTACGCACCGTTTATAAATGAGGCCCCTGATCTGCCAAGGGGCAGGGCTGTGGAACAGTATGCATCCTTATTATTAACATATAAAAGAGTGTTAAGAGTGTTATTTTGTTGTCTCTAGTGGGGAATTTAACATACTGAGTAGGTTAGTAGGTAGAGATTTGTCAAGTTTTGCATGATTAAAATCCCCTGTGATGGTAACAAAGGCTGTAATGTTGGCCATGTCTCTGAACACCTGGTACTTCTGGGACCTCCATGTAGGTCACAGTTCTGGAATATGACAGCACTAGAGGGTAATGGCTTCCTGGTAGCTTCACGTATGATTCTTAATTTGCGTCTTTATGTCAACGTTTCTTGCCACCCTGTTGACTTTTAGCAACAAAACGTTTGGTTCTGTGATCACGCCCCAGTAGCTTAGTAATTTCAAGAGTGCTGCATCCCTCTGAAATACCTTTTTTAAATGTTTGAATTTTCAGAGTCAGTTAAATCTCTTTTTTGGCCCATTTTGCCTGAGGAAAAGGAGCTGCATAATAATTATTTACACCTTCATGTAGGGCAGGCCTATTCAAATGGCGGGCCAGATGCGGCCCAGAACCAACTCCCGAGTGGCCCAGCCTCCCGTAGCCAAATTCCTACACTAGTACAGACCATGAACGCTACACTCCGCGTTGCATAGAAACTAGGGCTGAATGATATACCGTGTCATGGCGATAACCGCGATCTGCGCATGCGCGATATTCACACCACAGGGACGTGCGGTTTTATTCATTTTGTTTTTAAATGCTAACGCACTTTAGCACAGAATTCAAAATAAAGATACCCTTATTACTTATCGAAACTGCACATACAATATATCCGATTAAAGCTGAGACTCCACAGATTATTTAAGTATAGTATCTAAGCGATCCGATCTTGCGACAGGGGAAGCAAACACAGACATCACAACACGTACCTTTTTCGGATCTTTTACGGGAGATCGTCTCACCGTAGCTGTCAATCTGATCAAAAGACGTGTTCAATGGCATTAAAACGAGAAAAAACGCGGTTGATCCATAGGTTGATAATGTATCTGTGGCTTTGAAGCAATTGTTTATAATCCATAATTCCATTTTTATGTAAAAATCGGAGCACAAAAGTTAGCTGCTAATGGTAGCCACCAGAGTGTATGCAGCTTCCGGTTTTGGCTACGCGTCACTCTCACTCCTTATTTGGTAATGTGTGTGTATTAGACTGCCGCATAGCCAAGACTGGAAGCAGCAGCCACTGAAATAATTTTTTATACAGAGACGTTAAAAACCTATGGATTAACCGATTCAGCCGCATTTTTTCTCGTTTTAATGCCATTGAACACGTCTTTTGATCAGATTGACAGCTACGGTGAGACAATCTCCCTAGAAGCTCCGTTGGTGGTCCTATGATAGCAACTCTAAAACATGTCTCTCTCAACTCTGAAGCGTAAACAGAGACAAAACGGTCATTGATCTTGTGGAGCAGATCCAAGTCAAGCTGGACCTTTTCGCAAACGACTTGAGCACGGGTCGGATGCTGCATTTTCCGACGCTCCTCAAACACATCACATCCCCGGCACAAATCACGGATGTGATGACAGAGTTCATTGCGAGGTTGAAAGAGAACTTTGCCGGTCGATTGGATGGACTTGCTCTGCCCACAGAGGTGATGGGCTTTGCCAGAGACCCCTTCACTGTTGCAATAGAGGGGGACGTATCAACCAGAGCCAAAGAAGTGGTCCCCTGCATCGACGAGGGGAAATGTACACTGGAATGTACTGACATGCATTCATCCGTAACCATGGCACAAGAGCAGCGCACTAACGGGCCAGCGAAGTTTTGGAGTGATGTCAACAAACAGCAGTTCCCTAACGTTCAGAAAGTAGCGATCTGTGTGCTCAGTATGTTTGGATCAACATACAAATGTGAATCAAGCTTTTCACACATGAACTCAATAACAAGTAGCACTCGCTGCTCCCTGACTGACAGCACTCTTCACCAATGTTTTAGGATTGCATTGACATCCTATGAGCCAAAAATCACTGCTCTTGTTCAAAACTAAAAATGTCCCTTCTCCCATTGAGAAAGTCAGCGAGTAGACGTGTAGTATTCATTCATATATTAGTTACCATTATCCCTTGTTATGGGTTTGTGCACTGAAGGGTTTGACAGTTCTTTTTGTATTTAAATGCACTTTGTAATGTGTCTGGTCAAATGTGACCAAATTGTATGATTTTGTTGTTATTCCTTGAAAAGTGAAAACATAGTATTGCTACAGTAATACAGTACAATTCTCTTTGTGTTACATTGGAGCTCTTTAACTGTTTGTTAATGCACTTTTTGATGTGCGTGTGTCATTATGTATCCAATTTGATTTTGTATCTGAGGACATTTATTAAGACTGCTATTATTGTATTCAGTTAAATGCACTTTGTGATGTGCCTGGTTCAAAAAACATAACCTGAATATTTGACTTCTAAAGCAAACAAATGTAATGCTACAACTGTGCACTTTTTTTTTTCAGATTCTGTTAAATTAATACAAATTAGTTGTGTTTTTATGCACTTTTGCACATCACGTACCTTTGTTAGATGAACAATGAATAAAAATGGCATGTTTTTCATCGCAGTAATATGTGTTGGTTTAAAATGTGTCATTACCCGCTTTTTACAGGCCGCTGAATGTCTGGCCCAGCTGAATATGTAATTGAATAGCCCTGATGTAGGGTGTTGATGTCGTTAGGCCACACCCTCACACAAATACACATCACCTGATATGCTTAAATCCAATACGCATTGGGTGATGACTTTTAAATTTGAAATAAATAGGAATGTACCGATATTTCATTTCATTTCAAACCTTTATTTAATCAGATTGGTCCCATTGAGATCATAGATCTCTTTTTCAAGGGAGACCTGCAGCATATAGGTTCCACATGAAACATAAAACAATAAAGGACATTATACATTATATTTACAGGATACATTTACATAGTTATAGACATTTACAAGTGCCCATAGTATCAACGAGCATTTCATTTAGCCTAGCTTTAAAAACATGCAGAGGAAAGAGATTGCTCAGTTTCAATTCTTGCTGAAGATTGTTCCAAGCTGCAGGACTTCCGCCCCATGGAGCGGGTGTCTGCAGGATTGGTAAATGAAATCCAACATTCGATGTTCTTGGGAGGCCGTTGTTTATATTTGTGACTTTGTCATACTGCTGCTACTCCCGGTAACTTCCAGACACTCTCTACGCTCGCAACATTTATGTGTATGTCAGCGTTTAAGCCATTTGATTATATTGGCTCTTCTAATTCTGGAACAACCTCCTACTCTCACCATCAACTGTTGTTGCTCAGGTTAATTGTTGCAGCTGTTGTCGTCGGCCAACTAGTTGTTGGTGCCTGAGCTGAACCAGTTCCCGGGGCCGAGCTACATTGGAAACATGAGAAACTGATTCGCAAAAGGACAATGGTTCAGAACCAGCCCTGGAACCGCTTTGGCGGAGGTCTATGTGAGAGGCAGTTGGAGTTTTGTCACTTGAGGGGGCCAGATCGTTAGTCTGTTTAATATCATAAACGCGTCTATATGAGACAGCAACAAAACAACCTACTTTATCAAATAAAAAATTACGTATGAAAGGTAAAAAATATTATTATGGGATTGACAGCAGGTTTAAAATATTTATTTCTTAAGATTTGAAAGCTCCCCCACTCTAGCTGTGCTGTTATGATGTTATAAAGGTGTATATTTTAATAATCCACTCTAGCTAACGGTCTGAAAAATTTCCAAAACATAAACTGCCATTTTTTTGAAAACCATGCCACCTATATTTAATCTGAAAAAGTCCCAAGTCTGGAGAAACGTTTAACTTGTTTTTTTAGGTCAATGTGAACATTGGTTGTGTGGTTTTGACCTCTGCTCACCGCAATGACATGTGTTTGAATTTTCAGAGTGCAGGCGATGGGGAAGAGTCCAAAGAAGGTGAAGATGAAGCTGGAGGTGATGAAGAAGGAGGTGCAAGAGATAACAGCAACAATAAACAGGCTGCAGGAGGCAGAGAGGAGGAGAAAACCACAGACGAAGAAGAGGAGAAGGACAAGGGGAAGAAGTAGATTCACTCCATGAGGAAAAACAGAAAAGGGGTTTGAATGTGAAAAACAAAATACCTAAACCATGAAAATTACTCATTACTGTCAGTTTGAACATGTTTTTTTCACTGTCTTATCTTGTTGCTATAGAAACAGACATTGGTGGCATGTAACAAAAAGATGTGCAGATGATTTAGAGAGCTTCAATGGGACATTGTGGCTCCTGGTTCAGTATCACATGATGATGATGATGATCAGTATCATCTGGTCCTCCATGCTGGTCATTTGTCATGTCAAATCCTTTTTATTTATATATCCCAAAACAAGTTGTTGATCCCAGATAGACGTCAGACACCTATGTTCAATTCCATATTTACCACAATACACCAGCAGTTGTACAGCTGCTGATAACGTAAACTCTATAAGGTGTTGGAGCTAGCCATAGCTATGTATTATCCCCATATGGATAGGGTATAGTCTAGTTGCCAGCTCATAGAGTCCTATAGTGAACATTGAGTAATCCAAAGTTTTATGTTAGAAATGTATCGTAGGGTCCCCAGCACATAGTCGGATGCTAACCTGCATATTACATTACATTGCATTTAGCTGAGGCTTTTATCCAAAGCGACTTACAATAAGTACATTCGACCAGGAAGACACAACCTTGAAGAAAACAGAATCATATAAGTACATCAGGTTTCATAGAGCTAAACATTTCAAGTGCTACTCAACTGCATATTTTGGGCAATTTGCACAATTAGCATAAGTTGCGTTAATTACCAATAATTAGCAATATAGCCTATGTGAATTGGTGTTGGGGGTTATTGAGGATGCTGAATCAATGTCTGAAGATCAAAAACGGCAGTAGTTTTAAACAGAAGATCCCAGTATTTGTACTCTCGATGGGCTGATTTTGGGTCTATTTGGAAGATCTAGGGGACTCCTTTTCATCTTGTGCTCCCTATATCCAATGGTTGTGACACTACTCATGGTAGTCAAAAACAGCCGACCAACAGTAGAAAGATGGCCACTTTTCTGGTTAAAACTGCCATTTTTTACACTGAAAAGGTCAGAAATGGATCTGCATCCTCAATATCCCCAGAACCACTCCAACATTGATCAATTGGGCAAGCAATTTGTTTCCATATAGACTATAATGCAATGAAATGCTAATTATGCAAAAATCATGAGGACAAAAAAAAGGTGACACATTTGTTCACACTCATTTCTCAAAGACAAGATTGAGCTCTCGCCCAAAGGAGTGACACGCTGTTGGTAACAGGCAGCAGATCAGCAGCACACCAGTAAGCAACTGTCACAGCATTAAGGACTGCAGAAGCTCCAGAGGCTCTACGGTCTACAGACGCTGACTCTCATTTGGACGGGAATCTCACCATCATAAACACTGAGCTTATAAACTGTTTCATTATTGTTAAAAGTCAAAAACTGGGAGAGAAGTCAACTACGAGTCCCAGGGAAAATTGCTGTCAGAGACATCGAATAAGAAGGCTTGAAGTTGTTGAGTTCCTGACCGCCATGACACAGCGCTCTCAATATGATTTAATGGATTTCACAGGTCTGGAAGAAGAATGGCAGCTGAGGTTTCTGGGTACTGTAGTATTCAGAGATATTCAATATGTCCAGTCAAGAGTACTCACATTCTCCTCCTCTTTCATTACTTTATAGTTCAAATGAATGCAAACTGTTTTTTTTCAAAATATAGAACTTGTGATGTCAGTTCAGGCTCCTTGCCTGTGTCAGCAGTTGATGTAGACTACATGATTTCAGACACACATTTAAACACTGTACAGTTTATTGTACAGAAGCCTTTTAAGTGTTACACTTTAAAGGCAATGTTTGCTTTTGTTGGTAGTTGTGTCCACCTCCTCCAGGAGTTATAGACATTTGAGTTAGCAGCTACTGGCTGATAGAACATTCTGTAATGGTTGGATTTGCTGATTTCTTTCTCTTCTATTTTGTTGTAAACAAATTAATTATTAATTATTGGGTTTTAAACTGTTGGTTTGAAGGAGGAAGACATTATAAGAAGTCACATTGGGAATGCGTCCTTTACATTTTTAGTATTTCCTGATATTTAAAAAAAAGAGACAATTAATTGATATAATAATTTACCAACAAATTAATGAGAATAATCTTTTGTTGCAGGCCTGGGTGAACACCCAAACTGTCTAAAAACACTGAGTGTTTGGGCTCTGATAAACCTTGACAGTGAGCACAGATGTTTGTTTTTGTTTCAGAACAGCATAATAAAGACAACTTACTGGCTTATTCTGGGGTTTCCACTGCATGTCACACTAGAGTTCAAGTTTCATTTACCAACGGCTCAAAGATGATCAAAGAGTTCAGACTGACCCCAAAACCTTTCACAAGGAATTTGATATTTTCCATTCAAATGTTATCATAGTTGACAAAACAATTTGACAGAACTATAAAAAAATAATCAAACAACTACAAGTGTTTGTTGTAGACATCAGATATTTTGTAAATGTCTCTCAAATGCATTGCTGTTTCCTTTTTTTCTTTTCCAGAAAACAAAGATTTTTATAATAATACAAAAAGTACAGTGTTTACTGTTTACTCGTGCTAAGTAGCTAAAAGAGCAAGACACTTTAAGATAATGTAATAGCAGCTTTTTCAGTTTAAGTATTAAGTTTACGGTCTAGACATATATCCCTCTAATTATCAATAAAAACAAATCTGTATTTCAACCATTAAATAAATCAATTAGCAAACATAAATCAATGTATCAAGTGAGAGCCGTTAATAATTAATCGTTGTCTCCCTCTGGTGGTTAGTGAGATACATTACAGGGAGGTATGGAAGCGACTTCGGCCAATCAGATCCGACAACACTTGTCGTGACCTCTTCTCCGCCGCCATGTTTGTTAGTGGCAGTGAAGCCCGTGCGGAGGTGCAGGAGGAGCGCCAGCGGACCGTCGTGCAGTTTCTTACCAGACCTCGGAGTGTGTAGCCCGGCGGCAGCCATGGTTCAGACGTGCTCAGCGTATGGCTGTAAGAACCGCTACCATAAAGACAAAGACATTTCTTTTCACAAGTAAGTTGTTACCTGGCCAAATATGACGGATATGCACTGTGTGTCCTGTGAGGACTATCGAGAGATAGTTCACCAGCATTCGTTTCCACTCTGCCTGATTGAAGCTCAGTCAGCCGTCTTTAACAGCATCAGTGAGGAGAAGTTGAAGCAAGAGCTTCCTTGTGTCGGTAGATTTTACCGGTAAAATCGGGTGACTGACATTTCACAAAGCACCATTCTGCTCTCATACATTAAAAGTCTTGTATCAAGTTTGCCCGTGAGTTGCCCACTCCCCCACTTTAACAGCAAGTGGTGATAATATTAAAACGTACCTTCAATTCTGGTTCACCTTTTCTATATAGGCTACGGCCTTTTACCAAGACCTAACACATGTAAAAACACTTTGTCATAAACTCTAACATATTTTAATAATTAAGAAATATAATTCCATGAATTGTGATTAGAGTTTGATTACCATTCTATGGAGGTATTATCCTGCCATAACTCTACAAACAACCTAAACATGCTTTACAAATGCCCTATGATTCACTAACAAACACAGTGTGAAAACCAACCATGCCCGGTGCAGTGGGAGGGCCAGGCCCTCCCATTTTACATTCCTGCCCTTTCCCAAAAAACACGTTTTTTATTATTTATAAAAATTTAAAAATATATATATTTAATTTTTTTAATTATAAATAAGCTGTGAACTTTTATGCTACGATGTATGTGATGCAGAGATGGGGACTCGAGTTTGTGACTCGGACTCGAGTCGCACTTAAGTCGCACACACAGAGACTTCAGACTTGACTTGGACTCCTGCTCAAAAGACTTCGGACTCGACTTGGACTCGTGTTTTGGGACTCGTGAACAATCATTGTGTTTTCTATTTTTGGCGTATTAAAGGTGGGGTAGGTAAGTTTGAGAAACCGGCTCGAGATCGCTAGAATTTGAAAATACACAACCGGAGAAAATCTGCCACTTCCTCACAGAGCCCCTCCTCCAACACACACGAAAGCGCACATGACCAATGAGGGCACGAGATAAGTTTGTGCCCCGATGGGAGGCTGACAAGCAGGTAGGCCATCCAGTTTCTTTAGCCGGGCCGGCTATCGGGATGTTAAGAGCATTCCATGGAATATAACAAAAAGTGTATCTCGAGCCGGTTTCTCAAATGTACCTACCCCACCTTTAACATTAACATCATGGTAACACCATGGCGACCGGCGGCACACCTGCAGCTGTACCGCTTGTAATTAGGTTCAACTATAAAAACTTCGAACAAAACGCCGGCGGCACCAACAAAAGGAGCGCACACTGCAAAGTCTGCAATATTAAAATCAAGGATGCTGGTGCAACAACGTCGAATTTCATCAGGCACTTGAAAACTCACCCGGAGAGGTCAGTCACATTAACGCATATGGACGGTTAGCAAACATGTTTAGCTCAGCATCAGCTATGTAATGTTAACTTAGCTTGCTACTAGCTTTGTAACTGAATATTTGAAAAGATGAGTGAATGTTTCCTTGTCACACTTGTTTGCGTTGAGTGGCGTTGACATCCAACTCTTGACATGACATAAAAAAGGTCGGTAACGTTAATCATTACGTTCCGCTGCCACCATCTACTGGCTAACGTTAAACGTAGAAAAATACATAGTTGCATACATAAATACATCTGTCGGTTTATAGGCAGGTTATAGGTTTATTGTTGACCACGTAACGTTAATGTTACAGGTTTATCAGGTTACCATTACACTGGGTTTGAGTGAGAGGATATAGGAATATGTTTATTTATAGTAGACTTAAAAGATGTCATTAGAGACCCAGTGTAATTAAACAATACGGTTGCAGAGGTCACATTTTAACATTTTTGTCCACTGGCCAAATGGCTAGCCTAGTGAATGTTGAAATGTTACCAGCCACTCAATAGATTGCCATTGTTATTTGTGGCTGGTGCGTGCAACATACAGTACCAGCCACTTGCATGATTTACCAGCATTTGGCTGGTAAATGGTGTTAATGGTAGATATCTCTTTTGGAACAGGTCATGTTTTAATATCACCAGTTCAGTATATTGCAATAGCCTGTTTAAAGTGATCATATAACAAACAACTAATCAGTACTGATACTGTATGCTAATAGATATAGGAGTGATAATAATACAGTAAATGCTTTGAATGTCTTAGATATAGCTGTGCAGTATTCTTAACAGACTGGATAGCAGCAGACAATAGAAGGCTTATTACAACCAGAAGAGACATGAGACTTTGATTTTTTAGAGACTTGAGACTTGACTTGGACTCGTGACCAAAGACTTGAGACTTGATCAAGTCTCACCCCACAAAGACTTGAGACTTGACTTGGACTCGTGACCAAAGACTTGAGACTTGACTTGGACTTGCAAAAAAAGACTTGTGAACATCTCTGTGATGTCAGATAGTAACTAAAACAAAAAATCTCAGGCTACTTCAAATAAATGCATGTGTCTGTTGTGATTTGTGATTCGTCCACATTTAGACCAATCACAGCGTCACACTCTGCCGCCTATTCTATTCTATTCTGTAGACTACCATTTATGTTTCAATGACAAAATGGATATCAGAAATTGGCTTAAAAGGTCTAAGGATTTATTCAAACGAAATAGCGATGAAAGAACTGCAGCCGATGGTGCTGCTGGCAACCCTGCACCTGCCATTGCAGCAGCACGCCTTAATGTCACAAGCTGGACCTCGGCAAACCCCGGGGCTGAGTTAGCGAGCCCAAGCCTTGACTCATCAAGGCGACCGCCACCAACGCTGTCCTCCGAGGCACAGCTCCTTGTGCCCCTACCGTCACCACCTGCGTTGCCACACCCTGTACCACACCCGCCAGCCTCCTCCTCCTCCTCCTCCTCCTCCTCCTCCTCCTCCTCCTCCTCCTCCTCCTCCTCCTCCTCCTCCTCCTCCTCCTCCTCCTCCTCCTCCTCCTCCTCCTCCTCCTCCTCCTCCTCCGTGCCTCCTCCTCCACTACAGACGCTACCTTGCAGCAGAAGCAGAAGCAGCAGCAGCACATCAACAGGTACTATTGGGCCAGCAACCGCTCATAGACCAACAGCCCCAGATGATCTTGGGGTTAATAAATCCAACCAGGTGAAACTGGATCGTTACCAGGGAGATTGTTTTCAGGAAAGAAGCGCACTTTTGCCGCTGCATGGTACAACAACAGACCATGGCTTGAAGATTCGTTAAAAGCAGACGCAGCCTTTTGTTTCCCCTGTAGACAGTTTAAAGTCAATGCATCTTCATCTGATGCGGCTTTTACTGTCAAAGGTTTTTGCGACTGGAAACACGCATTACAGACTGATAAAGGACTGCTAAGCATGCCGCATCAAAAGAACACATTTCATGTGAGAGTTTGTGGAGAGAGAGATACGCGAGGAAACATAAGGAAATTAGTACTTTGGTGCAGATCAGCTGGCACGGAGCCGTCATTACGTGTCAGCTGTCATTGATATTATAGCTTTTTTAGCTGTCAACCAACTACCTCTCAGAGGTGACCACGGTTCACTCCACAGCATGTCCGAGTGCAGTGCATAGGAACATAAACCATGCCCAAGGCGGGCTAAACAGTTCATCGTCTCCATCTCTACAATTTCTCTCCGAGTGCAACGATGAGGAAGCTGCCATCCGTAACCAGTGTGCCTTACTCGTGATTTACCAGTGTCTGTGCTGCCACGCACACAATGTTTCAAAAGTGATTTCTACGGTATGTTGCCCTTTATTTGTGTATGTATTTGCGATAAGTGTGCGTCTTTACCAAGCGGCACACTCTGGGGAAGAGCCGGGACGTCAATACGGAAGTGCCACACACTGCAGTTCATATATTGGCCGATAGGCGATGGCTGCAGAAAGGAGCAATTTCCATAGACCCCCATGTTAAAATGCCCAACTTTACAGCAGAAAAAAACATGTTTCTACCCCTGGCTCCATACATTTTATTATCGATATAGTTAGATTCCACCTTCATGATTATGGATCTGTGAGTGAATTGTTTTCTAACGCGACCCTTTTATTTATATTAGGTCTTAAAGTTTTTGCATAAATTAGGGCGTGGTCACATTGAGTGACAGCTCTGTCAAGTGACTGCTGCTGCTAGCTTCTTGTCTCTCTGCTAGCTGCTCCGTGAAGCTACAGGGACTCTGCCTGCTCAGTTCATCCAGGGAACACAACTTGAAGCCGGCCGTGGTTGTTTGTT